CCTCCTGTCCCTGGCACTCACTATATGACTCTGAGTCCTTCCACTACTCCACAGCGTGTCCCTCTGCCGTCTCCTCCTGCGTCCTCTCTTCCTGACGGTCCGGACCCAGAGTCTGACTCCATTCGTGATGCCAGTCCTACTGTCACGCGTTTCCTCGCCACTGTTGTTACTGACCCTACCTTTGAGTCCACTGCTGCGTCTGCTCTAGTCGCTGAGCTTGTTGACTTTGCTGCCGCCTGTCGTCTAGACTACGCCGCTAGTCTTGTTGCTGAGTCTGAGTCTGAGTCTGTCTGTCCTCCGTCCGTCGGGGGTGAGTGTGCTCTTGGCACGGTTGTCCTTGAGGACACACAGGAGGAGTTTGAGTGCTTTGCCGCTGCTTTCCCTCATCTCGTGTCCATGCTGATTGCCCCTGAGGGAGACCCGGATGCACCAGACATCCCGACCCCGCGCTCTTACGCAGAGGCGATAGAGGGTCCCTACTCCTCTCAGTGGCAGTCAGCCATGGACGCAGAGATGGCTTCCTGGAAGTCCACATGCACCTACGTCGACGAGGTTCCCCCGCCTGGGGCGAACATCGTCAGTGGCATGTGGATTTTCAGGGTGAAGCGGCCGCCGGGTTCTCCGCCTGTCTTCAAGGCGCGTTACGTTGCACGAGGCTTCAGTCAGCGTGAGGGAGTTGACTTCTTCCAAACCTTCTCCCCTACCCCGAATATGACCACTCTTCGGGTTCTGCTGCACGTCGCCGCTCAGCGTGACTATGAGCTTCACTCTCTTGACTTCAGCACAGCCTTCCTACAGGCAGCCTGCACGAGGAGATCTAGCTGCGCCGCCCACCTGGCTTCACTGGGTCGTTCCCTCCTGGTACCCAGTGGAGCCTCCGGCGGCCAGTCTACGGTCTCCGCCAGGCGCCCCGTGAGTGGCACGAAACACTGAGGACTACGCTTGCGGCTCTTGGGTTTGCTCCTTCCACTGCTGACCCGTCGCTGTTTCTCCGCACCGACACTACTCTGCCGCCGTTCTACATCCTCGTGTACGTCGACGACTTGGTCTTTGCTACTGCTGACACTGCTGGACTGGCCCACGTGAAGTCGGAGCTGCAGAAGAGACACACTTGCACTGACCTGGGTGAGCTGACAAGCTATCTTGGCTTGCGGATCATCCGGGACAGAGCACAGCGCACCATTACCTTGACTCAGTCACACATGGTGCAGCAGGTCCTTCAGCGCTTCCGCTTCACGTACTCCTCGCCACAGTCCACTCCTCTGCCTACCGGTCACTCGCTCTCAGCTCCACCTTCGGTCGAGTCCGTAGAGCCGAGTGGCCCGTATCCAGAGCTTGTGGGCTGCCTCATGTACCTGATGACCTGCACTCGACCTGACCTAGCCTACCCTCTTAGCATCCTAGCACGCTATGTCGCTCCTGGCCGACACAGGAAGGAGCACATGGATGCTGCTAAGAGGGTGTTGCGCTACTTGTGGAGTACGTCGGGCATGGGGCTCGTGCTTGGAGGACGGGCGCCAGTTGTCCTCACTGGTCACGCAGACGCTTCTTGGGCTGACGACTTGGCTACGCAGCGGTCGTCACAGGGTTACACCTTCAGCCTTGGCTCTGGCTCTGTTTCTTGGCGGTCCACCCGCTCATCTTCTGTTCTCAGCTCCAGTTGTGAGGCTGAGATCTACGCAGGGGCCATGGCTGCACAGGAGTTACGCTGGCTCACCTACCTGCTGACCGACCTTGGAGAGCCGCCTCGTTCTCCTCCAGTGCTGTACGTCGACAACAAGGCCATGATTGCCTTGTGTCAGGAGCACAGACTGGAGCACAGAACGAAGCACATCGCTCTGCGCTACTTCCTTGCTCGAGAGTTGCAGCAGCGTGGTCAGCTTCGTCTTGCTTACGTGGCCACTCGGGCCAACACTGCTGATGTGTTCACCAAGGCGCTTCAGCCTTGTGATCATCAGCATTTCTGTACTGTTCTAGGCCTTGTGCCTACTGTGCCTCACTTGCTTACTTCCTGACTCTGCTTGTACTGTGATCCTTATATGTGTATACCTGCATGTTTACACTTGCTAGGTTGTGATCACTGTATTTCTTGTTGTATTATCAACCTGCATGTGAACTGGTCTTGTGACCGCTTGCTTGTGCTCGGAATTTGTGTGGTATCCTTGAGATCCACCCTGAGCTGTGCTTTGCTTTGCTTTGTTTTGACTGGTCTTGTGACCATCTAGTTGTCTCCCACTTAGCCTATGGGGGTGTGTCAAACATTATATATGTTTCTATTCTGTAGGCTATAGTGGGTTTAGCCTTAGGGGGTATAACATTCTAGGTTTTCCTACTTGTACTCCCAATGCTGTTAGTTCATTCATTCCTCTCTCATTTTGACACTGCAGGCAGTGCTGAGGGAGAACCGCATCACGCTCGCCTACACCCTGCTGGAGCTGGGAAGATGCTTGACTCAAGAGATGCAGATCAGGCTGAGCAGCGATGTGCCCGTGTATCAGAGGAAGAGGCGGATAAGTCCGGGAGATACAGAGATGTGTATGGATAAATGCAAGGAGCTCGTAGAGGCATGACTAATCCAGAAGGCAGAGAGTGAATACGCTGCAGAAACGGTGGTAGCGGCAAGGAAGGACATAAAAAGGGGAGGTGTCGGCCGGAAGGATGTGCGAGGACTACAGAGAGCTGAACAAAATAACGGCAGCAGGCAGGTACCCCATGCAGTCGGCCGAAGAAATAATTGACAAGTTACAAGACGCGAGACGGTTTTCAACCTTAGATTTGAGACAGGGCTTTAACCAGCTACCAATCAAAATAGAGGACCGCAAGAAGACGGCATTCCACGGGCCAGACGGGCAATGTGAGTGGACTGGCATGCCATTCGGCCTCAAGAACACGTCAGCCACATTTCAGCTCACCATGGATGCAGTGCTGAGAGAAGTACATGTAGCCGTCGGTTGCATAGATGGCGTGATTGTGTTCAGCCCCAACGAGGAGCAGCATGTAGCGGATGTGAAGGCGACACTGGAGGCCATACGTAAGGCAAGGCTAACATGCCATCCTAATAAGTGCAGCTTCGGGGATGATGCAGTGAAGTACCTGGGCCTTGAAGTGCATGGGGGAAGGCTAGGGATACAGCAGGCAAAGGTTGAGGTGCTGGACCGAGTGGCAGCCCCGAAAGGCAGGACGACGCTAAGAGGAGTACAAGGATTTCTGAACTACTATAGACGGTTCATACCAAACTTAAGCAAGACATCAGTGCTGAACAAGCTGCTGAGGGAAGATCAAAGCTGGCAGTGGGGAGAAGCAGAGCTACGGTGCTGACTTTCGTTAAGTAAAGAAATCCCCTTTGTTCTATACACCTACTGGAGCAATTCGGGTCGGGAACAATATTAAGCCAAGAGAGGGAGGGAGAGAAGTGTTAAGAATTGAACTGAATAATGAATGGACTAACAATGAACAAACAAGATAGATATAGGCAAGGCTAACCCTAACCCTAGCACAAATGTAACACACCTAGACTATAGCATACGGACTATATAAATCATAGTAAGACAATCCCCCATAGTCTAGGTGACGGTAGTCCCGTGGAAAGCAACACATATCTCAGGGTAGATTACGAAGTCTCCACACAGTCCGAGAGCAAGGGTCACAGGACCAGTCAGCAAGAATAGGCAATGGTCACAAGACTAGTCAGCAAGAACAAGAAACAAACAAGAGATGCAACTTAGGGTGGATCACAAAGTCACCACACAGTCTGAGCGTAGACAGGGGGCCATAAGGTCAGTCCACATACAGGTATAAGACATATATAGGGAGATGCAAGTGTACAAGGCAAAGCAAGAAGTAAGCATCTCTACGAAAGAGGGTTCTAGGGGGGACCCGCGGGGGTCGTCAACGGGGCTTCTACGGGGGACCCACGGGGGTCGTGAAAGAGGCAAATAGGGGACCCACGGGGGTCGTGAAAGAGGCAAATTAGGGGACCCGTGAGGGATTTGGGAGGCTGCTGGCATGCACGCTAAGGACAGCGGGCTAGGGAGAATGGTGGGTTAGATTCTTACGAATGAACTAGCGATGGTACCATCTCAAAGTAGCACATAGCGGAGTGATTAGACTAGTAGGAGAAGGGTACAAGTAAGAGTGTCAAGAGAAATGTTGTATTCCACACTATAGTGCACCTCAATCTAGCCTGATAGACATAGTACACATATCATAATGTGTACGTTGTCAGTCTAGTCGTTTAGATGAAACCAAACGATATGCCTTCAGATTCAGATGACAATGAAATTTGGGCCTGATATTACAGACGATCAGATAATTTGTTTGATGTCGACGTCCTTTGTTGGGTACGGTGTCAGGTAGTTGAACATGTCTGTATATGCACCACATTTGAAAAATGACAGTGTTAGCACCGCGGTGGTCAATAGAGGGCAGTTATGTCACACTCTGTAAGTGCTGAACTGATGGGTGAGGGTCAAGCACCCCCACTAGAGCACCCCGTTAGCAGATCTGGTTCGGTACAACAAGATCAGCTTGCCAAGATTCGGACCCGAGTAGTAACGGCGTGAAAGTGGTTGTACAGAAGATCGTTAGTCGGCAGCGTGGAGGGGAGGTCAAGCAGTTGAACAATGTGAACCGCAAGGAATGCCGCGCGCCGAGCACGCATGCTCCTGGTAATCTCCATTCCCCCTCTACCGCTGGTAACCTATTGGCCAATCAATTCCATGTTGCGCCTACTCCCAGTTATGCGCCCTTCAAACAACACTTGCCGCCGTCGCCTCACCCGCTGTTCTCCGTCTCGCGTTGCTCGTTGCTTCCGTCTCGTCCTCGTCGCAGCATGCCTCGCTGTAAGGGCGATTCCGTGACATTCTCCCACCGCTCCGCCGCGCTCCCTAACCTATTGCCCCTGAAATCCCACCTCAAAGCGGCGTCGCGCAGGTGAGCTCACGACGCGGCTCGTCCACTCCCTCCGTCCCACCCTCCCCCACTCACCACACTCCACCGTCATGCGGCGGTCCCTCCCTGCTTTCCGCGCGCAGGCATGCAGCGTGCAGCGCGGCGGGTCGGCGCGGCCAGGGTCGATCCTGGCGGGGTTTGAGTATCCGGAGCACGTGTGCGGGGTGGCGTGGCGCGACGAGTACGTGCGGCTGCACGCGCGCATCAGAGCCGCCAGCCGCGACGCGTGGCGCGCGCGACAGCCACCAGGTACTACCGGGGCGGTGGGGCAGCGGAGCGGGTGACGATGCGGGTTGTAACTAGTGGGTGACTATTAGTAGTGCGAGAAACGGAGGAGCAGACGCGTAGTTGCGCGGACAGGAAGGGAGAAGAAGGGCGCAAAGCACGTGCGGGTTTGATGCGTGTGTACCCACGCACTGCTCCGCCCCTTCCCGTGTTTCCACTATGCAGATGCCCCGTCTCCCGCGACTTCGCCTTCGCCTGCGCCAGCACCAGCGCCCGCCTCATCACACGAATCGCCGCCCCTCGCCTCCGCGCCGCCGCCACAGCCCACCGCCACGTCGCGCAGGCGCCTGGCGGACCACTATCCCTCCGACGTCGACAAGCCCGCGGAGCTTGCAGCAGCGGACGACTCCGCTGCAGCTGACGCGCCTTACACGCCACCGGCAGTGCGGTTCCTGGCGTACGACTGGTACGGCACGGGTGGGGGTTGTGGGGGGGTCGGCGACTACCTCATCAGGCTCGTCTCCATCTTCCTTTTTTTTTAGAATTCTCAATCTGTTTTTCTAAATCTGCTTTTATTTTTTTTCTATGTTTTTTGAGTTTTCAAAAAAACAGGTTCGGCACGTGCGGGGGGGTCGGTGACTACCTCATCGGGCTCGTCTCCATCTTCCCCGTCGCGCTGCTCGATTGCTGCGCGCTGCTCGTGGCGCAGCCCTGCATGCACGCTGCGTTCCACTCGCCGCACATCGACACCGCGCCCCCCCCCACCCCCAGCGTGCCCATGGAGGGAAAGCCGCAGCTGCGCGCCACACCCTTAGACGCACCCGGCACAGGCGCTGGCGACAGCAACAGCAACGGTGACAACGACGGGGACAGCAACGAGCGGCGGGTGGAGTGGCACGCGCCGTGAGTGCACATGGGTTGGGGTTCTGGGGGGGAAGGAGGGAACGGGGGAGGAAGGGGGGGGGCAGCATGAGTGGGTTTTCAAGAACATGTATGGGGACACTTCTTCTCTGCATGTTTTGTCACTGAGTGTTTCACTGTGCTCCCGTCCCCGTTCCACTCCCCAACCCCCCCACATCCCCCGTGACAGACAGTGGAGGATTTCTGGTACCCGCCTCCACTGCAGGTGAAGTGGATTCTCATCACCAACTCGCACCCGCTCAAGCAAGCGCTCAAGGCCAAGTACCCAGATAAGGTATGTAACCACCCCCACCTCCACCCACGCTCATGTTCCACCCCGTCCCCACCTGTCTCCCTTTTTCTCCTTCCTTCCATCGCCTTCCCTCACCACATCTGTTTCCTTCTATTCACCCGCTCGCTTTTCCGGTTCCTCTTGTCCTGCCTCATCCCTCCCCTTCCGCTCATGCGCCTCGCCTCTCCACTGCATGCGCCGCATTGTGTACGCATTCCCCACGTGCGGCCACGGGCCATATGTGCACGCTTGACTGCATCCGCTGCCATGCATCCTTCCTTCCATCGCCTTGCCTTCCTTCCCCTGCATGTGCCGCATTGCGTGCATGCCATGTGTCGCATTGCGTGCATGCCATGTGCTGCATTGTGTGCATGCCATGTGCCGCTTTGCATGCATGTCATGTGCCGCTTTGCATGCATGCCATGTGCCGCTTTGCATGCATGCCATGTGCTGCCTTGCATGAATGCCATGTGCCGCCTTGCATGCATGCCATGTGCCGCCTTGCATGCATGACATGTGCCGCCTTGCATGCATGCAATGTGCCGCTTTGCATGCATGCCATGTGCCGCTTTGCATGCATGCCATGTGTCGTTTTGCATGCATGCCATGTGCCGCCACAAGTTGCGCTGCCAGGTGGTAGCATCGTACTCCATTCCCTGGCACTCGAATTGAGCCACGGAGCATGAGCACACATACCTCACCTCGCCCTCCTTTCCCCCCGTCCCTTTTCTGTGCCGCTGGCGCTGTCAGGAAACGGAATCTCATGAACACTCTCTTTTCAGTTGTCCGAAGATTCAGCCAGTGATTTCTGGACTCCGTCGAGCTCTGCGTATGCTCAACCCCAAGCGGGCTCTTGCCTTGCTGGGCGGCCTCTTGTTCCAGGAAACCGGGACCGCGTCGGACTTTCCAAAAGCCACACTAACGGCCATCACATTCCACCAGTTGTGGGCGGAACGTTGTGATGCAAGTTTTCGAGGGCAAAAGTTCAGGGCCCGTCGGGTGCTCAGAAGAATTGGAACAGCTTTTCGGCTGCATGCGATGGTGTACACGAGGGCGACAGGAGCGAAATGTCTGAAGCCGGGCACGTTAGGGAAGCACAAGAGGGTTAGAAGTGTGTTTGAAGCCAAACAAAAAATGCTGACGAGGATCAGGGATGCTGGTGACAAAAAATGGAAGTGGACGGCTAGCTTTGCAGCGATTTGGAACAAGCCTAGGAGGGTATTTCTCCTGCCCTAGACACCTCTCTGGGCAGCGCAAGGTGTCTGCCCTCACGCTCAGTTACGACTGCTATTGCTGTTTACATTAGCTTCAATTTAAAAGAAGAAAAAAAAAAATACAAGGACAGGATCATTCTCGATCTACTCAGCTAGAAGATCACCCACGCAAGCGATGTCATCTTCTACAAACGACTTACCCTCGCTCAGTTTCGCGTGGATGAGCAAGCAGGCGCAAACATAGTGCACGCGAACAACGGGCGCAACTACGCTTACCCCGAAGACGAAGCTGCCGCGGCCTTCCTGGACCATGACACCACCAGCGAGTTCCCCGACATCGATCCGCGTCGCGACGACGACGACGATGGCGACGACGACGACGATGGCGACGACGACAAGTCGCCTCCGGGACCCGCGGGAGGAAGTCGCAGGGACCCCTCGGCGCCAGCCCCACTTGAACCGGATAGCGATGACGACGACGTGTGGGAGGTCGTCCCGCAACATCGCCATGACACCACCGTCTCTGGATTGCAGCTGTTGGGGCTTCACGCCGCCACCTCCACAGCTCCGCGCTCCGTCGAGTAGAAAAAAGTGCGACAGGCGCTGACGGGACCCCATAGCAAAGAATGACGCGCAGCTATGGATGCGGAAATCAAGACGCTCGAGTCGCGCGACACATGGGTACTTGCCGACCGAGCGGCAATCAAGGAAAGACGGGTTCTCTCGGGCAAATGAGTTTTCCGCGTGAAAATCGCGGCGGACGGCACCATCGAGCGTTTTAAGGCACGCTGGGTCATGCGCTGCTATGACCAGCGTCACGGCATCGACCTCGACCAAACCTTTGCCCTGGTCAGCCGTCACAGCTCCGTGCGCATTTTGCTCGCCATCGCTGCAGCAAGGCACCTACCGCTTCGCCATATTGACGTAAAGAACACATTCTTGCGTTAGTAAATGCGGTGATTTTTGTGGAGCAGCCGCATACCTACGTTGAGGCCGACTCACGCGTGTGCCAACTGAAGAAGTCCCTTAACGAGATCAAACAGGCACCGAGGCTCTTGCAGCAGCACATGCACAAAATCTACTGGAAATCGAATTCACACACCTTCCGCATGATCCCGGGATGTACCGCCTGCATTTGTGCAGAGACTACATCCTGCTCACAGTTTACATGGACAACCTACTTAACACGGGGACGAGCAACACGCTTCTCGATCAGTTCGAGAAGAATCTGGCGATGCTCGTCAACAATACCACGAACCACGATGTGACACAGTTTTTTAGACCTAATATCTCCTACGCTCTTGAAGATATCCGCCTCTCCGCTTCCAAGCATGCTGAATCACTTGGAAAGCGCTTCAACATCGCTCCCGTGCCACTCTCAACTCCTTACCGCACGCCTGGACCGAATTACAAACATGACAACAAAGCCCTGTCCCCAGCAGGAATTCAAACCTACCAGCAGCAGCTAGGCTGCCTCTCTGACATGCAAGCCCGATCTCTCTTACATCGCGAGCCAACTTGCTCAATACTCACGCAAACCAACGACTGATACCTTCAGCGCGCTCTGCAATTTTTCATCTCAACACCCAGCATCGGGCTCTGCTACTCCACAGTTACAACTCCCTCAATCAACCTCGTCGGCTACGTGAATGTAAATGGCTGAACTCGTCGGCTACGTGGATGCCTACCGGGTTCCTATTCCAACTCGAGGCACCAGGCCCCATCTCCTGGAATTCGCAGAAGCAGGAGCTGGTTGCCCTGTCATTAAAAAAAAAAAAAAAAAAAAAAAAAAACAGAATTGATTGCCGCGACGGCAGCAATTCGCGAATGACTATATTTGCAGAAACTCCTGCAAGAAGCGAAAAAACCAATTCCGTCGACCTTTTGCCTGCACTACGACAACCAAAGTGCAATCAGGATCGCGAACAAGTCGGGATTCATCAAACACACCAAACACATCGCTCTGCGATATTTCTTTGTCAAGGACGAAGTTGACAAGGGCAAGGTCGATCTGACGTTTTGCCCGACAAGTGACATGGCACCTAACTTCCTCACTGAGGGACTGCCTCGTCAGCAGTATCAGCACTGCGCCGAACTGAGCGGAGTGGTCAGCGAGTCATGGCTTGCTACGACCAGGAATGAAGAGGGGTGTTGCGATAAGTAAAATGTGAAATACAGTGCATTTATGCCCGTAACAAAAGAACATACACTAACGAGTACGAATGCGGAGTCACGCGAAATGTCACGTGGAGTTGGGAGCATCTGGACCGTCAACGGCACAAGCATCGGGCAGCTGCATCGCCGAGGATTTGGCGGGAACTGTCAAATTACAATTCTATCTCTAAGCTGTAGTAGGGTCACTCACATTGAGTACAACACTTTAGGGTTAGCCCTACTTGTACTCCCCTTCCTGCCTAATTCAATCACTTCTTCCTAGTTCAGTTATAAACATGGTATCAGAGTAGGAACCGTTCCTACGTGGGCCCACCGTTCTGCCTAGTGGTAGCGCCACGCACTACACTGCTGCTAGCACACTGGCGCCCCCACTCTCACTGTCGCGATCCCTCCCAAACGGCCCGCGCGGCCCTACATTTTCGCACGGTCGCGACCGCTCCTGACCGCGCCCTAGCTACCCGCCACTCGCGCGGCCCGCCAACTCCTGCGCCCGGTCCCCCCTCGCTCCTGCTGCTGCGCGCGCCTCTCGCGCTGCCCGCCAGCCCCTAGCGCGCACCTGCTGCGCGCCCCTCCTACACTGCCCCGCGCGCACCTGCTGCGCGCCCCTGGCTTGCACGCCCACAGCCCGCGCGCCCCTACTGCTACTGCGCGCCTGCTGCTGTGGCTGCTACTTACTGCTGCTGCTGCTACTTGCGGCTGCTGCCACACCACTGCGCCCGAGCCGCGCCGCCCAATCAGAGCCGCGCTGCTCTGCCCGAGCCGCGCCGCCCAGTCAGAGCCGTAACTGCTGCAGCTACTGCTACTGCTGTTGCTGCTGCTACTGTACTACTACTACTACTGCTGCTATGGCTAACCTGTCAGTTCTTACGTTCAATGCTGAGGGCCGCGCAATTACCTTTGATGTCTGGCTCGACGATCTCCAACTGTTCCTGCAGAGCGAGTCTAAGGATGGTATTTCCCTGTTTTTGCACACCGAGGGAAAGCTCCCAGCCCCTGCTGCCGACGCTGTAGAGGATATGTCAAAGTGGCTCATGCGTGATGCCGCTGCCCGCCTTGCTGTCCGCAACCACCTGCCCGTCATTGAGCGCGCGCACTTTAGCCAGCAGAAAACGGCCAAAGATCTCTATGACGCTGTCGTCGCTCTCTATTCCTCCCCAGTTACTGCTGCCGTAGGCCGTCTCATGCTGCCGTACCTGCATCCCGATCTAGCTGAGTTCCGCACTGTCTCTGACCTCTTTACCCACCTCCGCTCTAGTGAGGATCGCTTTGTGCCGCTCTCAAGCCGGCCTTTCTCGCTAAGAACCCCCCCCTCCGCAGTACTTCACCCTATACTTTCTCGTCACTTGTCTCCCTGACTCCCTTCGCACTGTCAGGGACCAGTTCCTAGCCCTTGACCCCACTGAGCTCACGCTTGACTCGCTTGAGAAGTCCCTTCTCGAGGCTGAGAAGAGCACTGTTGCTGTCGCTGCCTCCCGCGGCACTCCCCGCTCCCCCTTCTTTGAAGGGTGTACTCCCTCCCCTCTCCTCCCCTGAGTTGCTACCGCTGCTGCAGTCGACCTCCTTGGTGCTAAGGACGTTGCCGCTGCGTCTGCTCCCAGTGGAAGGCGCAACAACAGCAAGGGCAGAGGGGGCAGGGATGGTGGTGGTGGCAGCAACGGAGGGGGTGGCGAGGGTGGTGGGGGGGGTAGTGGAGGCTCTGGGGGTGGCTCTGGGGGTGGCGGCAGTGGAGGCGGACAGGGTGGAGGAGGCGGCGGTGGTGGTGGAGGCGGTTGGGATAGGGGGGGCGGTGGAGGAGGTCGGGGTGGGTCTGGCAGGGGTGGTAGCGCTCGTGGACCCTCCCGTGGCTATGGGAGTGGTCAGCAGCTGCCGCGCCTCCCGGACAACCCCATCGACCAGCAGCTCCGTGAGTGGGTTGTCCAGCGTGGGGGCTCTGGGGGCTCTGGTCGCTGCACGTATGTCCGGCGCACGGGGTCACTGAAGGGAACGGTCTGCGGGAAGCCGCACACTGAGTACAAGTGCTTCGGCCGTCTTGAGGATGCCTGGGTGGATGAGTACACCGAGGACCAGCAGGTGCCGAACTGGCTGCAGCTGATGGGGAAGGGGGTAGATGTGTTCGCTCTTGACTTTGCTAAGATCAATGCTGCTCTCTATGCCATGTATGTTTCTGATTCTAGTGTTGACTTTACTCGTGTGTACCGTGCGATGCTGGTGTTGATGCTGCTCCTCCAGGTGCTAGTGAGTCTGCTGCAGCTCTAGGTGATAGTGTCGCTGCTGCCCCAGGTG